GTTGAGGACCCATGCCGGCCAGAGGTGAAGGAAGCCGTGGAACTCTGCCACTGTGGCTATTGAAGACTTGAATTTTAACTAGATACTTAGCAAAATGGAACTATATTTTGCTTTAGTTGGAGTAGGTGAAAATCATATCATTGTAATTTATCTTTTCTTGTAATATGGTATGTACAAGATCTTTTGTGTAAGTTGTTCACCTACTATCAATGTACAAAATATATATGCAATAAAAGGAGAAGATCGAAGTATGTATGGTCTTCATGTTCCCTCTTTATATTTATTTTTTTCTGTTTTTTCCTCTATTTTTGCTCTCTGCTTGATTTTCACCTTCTGTTTCTTGCTTCTAAACTCCAACAAAGTGGTATCAAAGCAAGCATTCTTGAGGGACCTGTGAGAGAGTGAAACACGAGTGTATGTGAGGGAGTGTGCTGTGTAATCAACTATCACAGCTATGTCTTCTTCTTCAGGTCAGCATGGTGGTTCCCTATCAAACCCTTCGTTGTTTACAGGGAAGAATTATGATGTTTGGGCCATCAAAATGAAGGCATTTCTTAAGGGAAATGATGTGTGGGATTCTGTGGAAAAGGGCTTTAATCCACCTCGGTTGCCTCAAAATCCATCAGTAGCTCAAATAAAGCAACATGCAAAGTATGTAGCTGGTTCATACAAGGCTCTTTCATTCATCCATAGTGCTGTTGCAAATGAGATATTTCCCAGAATAATGAGAGCAAAAACGACACAAGCAGCATGGGAAATACTCCAGAAGGAATTTGAGGGTGATGAAAGGATTAAAGGCCAGAAGATTGTGAATCTGAAGAAGGAGTTTGCAATGATGAGAATGAAGGAGACTGACACCATTCATCAGTACTCCAATAGGCTTATGGATGTTGTGAACCAAATAAGATTGCATGGTGAAGATTTTCTAGACCAAAGAGTTGTGGAAAAAATGATAGTGAGCTTTCCTGAGAAGTTTGAGCCAAAAATATCAGCTATAGAAGAGTCGTGTGATTTGAAGACTCTTACTGTTTATGAATTGATCAGCAAGTTGCAAGTTCATGAACAAAGGACTGCTTTTAGAATGGAAGACATGGCTACTCGTGAAAGTGCTTTCCAAGCTTTGCCGAAGTGGAAGCCATTAACACCATCCTCTGAAAAGAAGCAGTAATATGGAAGAGCAGATAAAGGAAAAATGGTGGCTACACAGTATCAGCCATTTAAGAAAGATAAGTTTTCTCTATGTTCGATCTGCAAAAGAACTAATCATGATGGCAACGATTGTTGGTACAAAGGGAAGCCACAAGTGCAATGTAGATTTTGTAGAAAATATGGTCACATTGAGAAATTTTGCAGATTTAAGGAAAATCAATACAGACCAAAGCAGCAGCAAGCACAAGTAGCAAGCACAATTGAAGATCACTTGTTTATGGCTTCACTAGCTTCTGGTTCAATTGACAAGTGCTCATGGTTTGTGGACAGCGACTATACCTGTCATATGGCAAATAATGAAGCAATTTTTTCTGAATTGGACAAGTCAATGAGAATCAAAGTGAAGCTTGGAAATGGCTCAATAGTGCAATCAGAAGGCAAGGGTATTGTGGCTGTTCATATCAAGAAAGGTACAAAATATATTCATGATGTTCTCTTTATACCTTCCTTGAGTCAAAATCTGTTAAGTGTTGCACAGATGCTTAGGAAAGGTTATTCAGTTTCATTTTCCAACAATGCATGTTATATCTATGATTCTTGTGGTGTCGAACTTGCTAGAATCAAGATGGTAGAGAATAGCTTTCCTATTACGTGGAATTCTCCTTGCTTGCAACCTGTTTATGTATCAAAATCTAATGAAACTTCTTTATGGCACAAGAGATATGGTCACTTCAATTTGAAGTCTCTTAAGTTCCTTCAAACTAATGAACTTGTTAGAAACTTACCAGAAATTCATGTGAATGATGATGTATGTTCAAGCTGTCAATTTGGGAAGCTACATAGACAAGTTTTTCCCATCAACAATTCATGGAGAGTAAGCCAGAAACTTAAGCTAGTTCATACAGATGTTTGTGGTCCAATGAAGACTGCTTCGCTTGGTCAGAATCTCTATTTCATTCTTTTTATTAATGATTACACCAGGATGACGTGGGTGTATTTTATAAGTAGCAAGGCACAAGTTTTCTCTGTGTTTAAAAAGTTCAAGGTACTTGCTGAGAACCAAAGTGGCTACAAAATCAAAACCTTGAGATCTGACAATGGAAAAGAATACACTTCAAAGGAGTTTGACAACTTTTGTGAAGATGCAGGGATAGCACATCAGTTAACTGTCCCTTATACTCCTGAACAAAATGGAGTTTCTGAGAGGAAGAACAGAACAATTATGAAGATGGCTCAACGTATATTGCATGAAAAGAAGCTGCCTAAGAATTTTTGGGTAGAGGTTGTTTATTAAGCTATATATTTGTTGAATGGTTTGCCTATTAAGGCTGTGCAAGGAAAAACACCTATTGAGGCTTGGTTTGGTGTTAAGCCTTTTGCACTTCAGTTGAAAATTTTTGGCTCTATTTGCTATATTCATGTGCCTGATGCAAAGAGAACCAAGCTTTATGTTAAAGCTAAAATTGGTGTTCTGGTGGGTTACTCTACAAAATCAAAAGGCTACAGGGTATACAACTTGCAATCTGGAAAAATTTCAATTCACAAGGATGTACAAGTTGATGAAGATTCTCATTGGGATTGAGACGAGAGTTATTGTGAAAAATGGTGATATAGCCTCTATCAAGGATAATGTAGAAGCTTCCAAAAAGGAAGTTTCAGCTTCTAATGTAGCCGATGTTGATGCTCACCATGATTCCCCTGTTATGAAAACTAAAACCTTGTCTGAAATTTATGAAAGATGCAACCTAGCTGTTTTAGAACCCAACATGTATGCAGAAACTTCCAAGCATGACATATGGAGGCATGCAATGCAGGAGGAGATACAGATGATTAAAAAAAATGAAACTTGGGAATTGACTTCCCTGCCACTGGAAAAGAATGCAATTGGAGTCAAATGGGTGTTTAGAACCAAGATGAATCCTAATGGCTCCATTCACAAGCACAAAGCCAGATTGGTAGTGAAAGGATATGCTCAGCAAGTTGGAATTGATTATGGTGATACTTTTGCACCAATTGCTCGGCATGATACAGTTAGAATGTTGATTGCTTTATCTGCTAATTTTGGCTGGACAATTTACCATATGGATGTCAAATCAGCTTTCTTGAATGGCCATTTGTAGGAAGACATTTATGTGCAACAACCTGAGGGCTTTATTATTTCTGGTCATGAAGACAAGGTTTACAAGCTTAAAAAGGCTTTGTATGGGCTCAAGCAGGCACCTAGATCTTTGTACAGCAAGATTGATTCATTTCTCCTTCAACAAGGTTTTCAAAGGAGTGAAAATGAGCCAACCTTGTATGTTAAACGCAACTCAGGTCAGTCTTCCAAAGATACAACTTTTTCAGTTGAAAATTCTGGTTCAAATCCTTTTTTTTGTGATGTTGAATTGCTAGTTTCTTTGTATGTTGATGATCAGTTGATTACCGGTGGCAATTCACAGTTATTACTTAGTTTTAAAGGTGATTTGATGAAAGAATTTGAAATGTCTGATCTAGGGGAGATGAGTTATGTTTTAGGCATGGAAATTCATCAATGTGAATCTGGTATATTTGTTTCTCAACATAAATATGCTCTTGATGTTTTGAAGAAATTCAGTATGGATCAATGCAAGTCTGTGCCTACTCCCTTAGTTCAAAATTCAAAATTAATTGTTGAAGATGGTTATGAGAAGACAGATGCTTCTATTTATAGAAGTTTGGTTGGGAGTCTCTTGTATCTTACTGCAACCAGACCAGATCTCATGTATGCAGCAAGCTTATTATCTAGGTTCATGCATTCTCCTAGTCAAGCTCATTTTGGTGTTGCAAAAAGGGTGCTGAGATATCTCAATGTCACTTCAGATTATGGTTTATGGTTTGAGAAGCATAAACATGGAATTCTGCACTGTTTTTCTTATAGTGATTGGGCTGGAAGTCATGAAGATGCCAAGAGCACAACTGGTTTTGTGTTCTTCTTTGGTTCTGCAGCTTTTTCTTGGATGTCTAGAAAGCAAGAAGTCGTTGCTCAATCAATTGTAGAAGCTGAGTATATTGCTGCAGTAGAAGCCGTAAATCATGCAGCATGGATTAACAAGATGCAAATTGATATGGGGTGTTATCAGCTCAAGCCTTGTGTTATCCACTGTGATAACAATTCTGCCATTGCTATTGCTTATAATCCTGTCCAGCATGGTCGTATTAAGCATGTCAATGTTAAATTTCATGTGCTTAGGAATATGGTGCAGAGTAAGGAAATTGAGATGGTTTACTGTCACAATAATGAACAGGTTGTTGATATATTTACCAAGGCTTTATCAAAGTTCAAGTTTGAAAAGTTCAGAAGCAAGCTCGGAGTATCTAGTAAAAATTCAAGAGGAGTGTTGAAGACTTGAATTTTAACTAGATACTTAGCAAAATGGAATTATATTTTGCTTTAGTTGGAGTAGGTGAAAATCATATCATTGTAATTTATCTTTTCTTGTAATATGGTATGTACAAGATCTTTTGTGTAAGTTGTTCACCTACTATCAAT